GAAGAGTCAAGTTTTACCTACAATAGAGGACTGGAGAGTGAAGGTTTCGCATCTTGCTGAAATGGCAAAGATTTCGGCTTATTTGAAGGATCACTCAAATGAACAATTTTTATCAATATGGAGAAGATGGATTGTTTATATTCAAAATAAGCATAGAATGGTGGAATATAGGTTAGGTTTTTAGATAAAAAATTTTTTTTTCTTTTTATATATATACATATATTTCACCTACTTATGTAGAATTATATTTTGTGGTGTTAGGGATATTAATATAAGGTTACTTTTAGATGAATAGTATCCTGGGATTAGGTTTGGGAAGTCCGGGTGGGGGGTGGGGGGGGGTTTCAATTGTGATGTACTTGTGATTGCTCTTTTTCTTATGTTGAAAATAATAAAAAAAAAAATTTGAAAAAAAAAAAAAAGATTAAACAAAAAAGTAAAGCAACAGGCAGAGGTGGAAGTATAATAGCTACAGTTCTATTCAGATTGTAGGATCTGAAAAAATATTTTTCTAATAAATACACATGAAGGAATTCCTACTGGGTTCTAAACCAGACTGTTTTATGCCTTAGATGTTTTTCAAAAATGATTTTAAAAAGATTTGAAGGCTCGAACTGAAAATGAAGTACCATTTGTAACAAAGAAAATTATCAATGAAGAGAATATTTGTAGCTCAGGGTTGAAATGAGGGGTCCTTGGTGCTCTGAGCTTGCTTATTTTCTTGCAGACGTTTCATTACCCTACCTAGGTAACATTATCACTGCTAGTAAGGAGTGCTGTTTGTTTCTCAGCACTAGCTAACATCATCAGTGCTAGTAAGGAGTGCTGTTTGGGCTCCTTACTAGTACAGATGATGTTACCTAGTTAGGATAATAAAATGTCTGCAAGAAAACAAGCAAGCTCAGAGACCACCAAGGAACCCTTCAAACAAAATTACTACAAAACCACAATGCATTGAAGAGGAATTTAAACTGATTTTGTCCCAATAAAATCAACCCAATGAATGCCCCATTTAGATACACTTTAATGTTGTATTTCTCTGAAGTTATATTTACATTGTCATGGTATATACAATGTGGCCTAATTAGCAGTCTGTTTTATTGAATTTAAGATTATTCATATATCAATTCCAAACTTATTCTCAAATAGTACTTCTATATAAACAATGTACTTTTTTCAGTTGGAATAGAATGCTGATTAAACCATTTTGAATGCAGTTATGCAGTATACTGTTTCTCCAGAGTTGAAACAAAATATTGCTTAATAATTAAAATTAAATGTCATTGTTTAGCTGCCAAAAGAACTTTGCTAAATTGCTTATGTGTTTATGAAGTCAGATATGATTCTATATTGCCAAGGGAAAAAATTACTGCAATAGGACTTCCATTCCAGCAAGGAACTGAAATAGGAACCTCACAATAAGCATACCTGGGATGAAAAGAACTCAAGTATATATTTCTCTATAAATATTGGTGATCTTTCTCAGCCCAATAAGGAATATTTAAAGATCGCAAGTTACTTCTGCCTAGTAAATGGGTCATTTCATCTTGAATGTCTTTATTCACTTTGAACATTATGTCAGGGTCTAAGACATATTATTTATCAGGATTCTCCAAGTAGGTGAATCTCTTTTCATATGAATTAATTATTAAAGCTTTTAACTATGCCATTTTCTGATCTGAAAAATCAAGCCTCTTCTTTGTCTCCAAAAAGCTGTTGCACTCATCTGCTGCAATTAGGAACAACATGAGTTCCGCCTTTTTAAAAGAATGTTAATCATGAAAAAGAAAGTTAAAGAAACACTATTCCCCATAGCTTTTTTTTCTTTGCAAGACATTATTCTCTTTGGATAAGAAGTTGTTCTCTGGATGAACAGAGAATTTTTCACCACAAAACTGTACTTTGAAGACAAAAAGTTTTCCACTTGCCAAGTAAACAATGAAGCAATAATAAAAACTGGAATGGGAAGCTGTGGTTAATGAACTCATGTATAAATCTCAATTCTAAGTTAACATTTGATAATTTGTACTAGGTCAATAAAGATTTAAAAACTATAAGCAAACATTTTAACCCAATTCTTACCTGTTTCTTTTGTTTTTTCTTCTGCATTTTTTTCTTTTTTTGATAAATTTTCTTCCTGTGATTTCATCTATAAAATCATAAAACAATTTCTATAATAGCCTCAAATATGTAAGACTAATAAAGTAACAGTACTATATAAACAAAATATTTACAGAATATTCCAAAATATTCCTACATTAGCATGTTTTGTTTAGTTTCAGTACTTTAATAAAATAAAGTCAATAGCAATCCAGAATATTCAGATGAAGTAAATTATAATAAAATTATAATTTTATTATAAACTTTATAATACAATTATAAAGTAAATTATAAAAGATGCCACCTTTTTCAGGTCAAGACTTTACATGCTTTCAGTTGCATAATGCAAATTCCAGAAAGTTAGCAACATAAGGACAAAATGCAATTTAATTTAAAATATAGCAAATTTTGCTACAAAAATCATGCAGAAAATACAAGCAGACCTGGAGATGCAAGTTGTGCACTCCTCCTGTATACTGTTAGTTTTCATTAGATTATATGTGCCATGATATTTTAACTTTTACCTCAACATTTACTAAGATAAGAAAACTTGAATTTCTATGTGATACCGTATACTGGGCAAAATAAAATATATTTATATAGGTGCTTATTACAAAATAATTCCACCTTGTAATCCAGATTTGATTTTTTTTAATATTTACCTTTAAGAATTTGTATAAAGCAAACACACCCACGCTTATAGCATATAGCGGCATTAGGGTTAATGCAAAGTCTTTGCGGTTGTCTCTAGTCCGTTCAGTCTTCAACTCCTTCTCCATTGCATTTCTCATTTGCTGGATGCTTTGATATGTTTTACTTTCAGGAGTTTCAAAGTTTGTTGGTGTATGCAGAATTTTTTCAGCTGTGCCTACAGAATAAACATTTTAATAATTCAGAGCCAGTTAAATCCAAAGCCAGTTAATAAAAACTAGGACTGTAATCTGGGATTTATGTGCTAAAGTACACTATATGTATAAATAGTTCCTGTCAACAAACACATTAATAAGAATCCCTGCACTATTTTAGCTTTATTAACAGTTTGTGAGAAAAGGGATAGGAATGATTATAAAGATAACATGGATGTTTTTCCTTGAGACAATGAAAGTCACCAAAAGCCATCTCTATGACACAAAAAAGCAATTGTTTTCCTTTCTAAGAAATAATCCAAAGCAACCTGATCAATATTGGTGTCTTCCAAATGTGTTGAAGTACAAACCCCATTTTCCTTAGCTCATACTGGCCAAGCTGTCTAGAAACGGCATAACCCAACAAATAGGGACATGAGCCAAGAAAGGCTGACCTAGCCTATGGAAGGACCAGTTTCTTAAGTAATTCCAGCTACAGTTGAACATGGTGTAAATGTTAAGGAACTTCTCTATAAGGCACTTTAGGACTAGTTTCTTTTAACATGTCCCCTTATTGCAGGCGGAACCCTGACATCAAGCCAAACAATTAGGGAAAGAAGAGAGCTTTTTATTAGCAGAAGTGTTATGGCAATTTCATCAAGTTACAGCTTAAATGAGGCTTTTCCATTTGCTTTGCTCTATGGCAGTGTTTCTCAACCTTGACAATTTTAAGGCATGTGGACTTCAACTCCCAGAATTCCACAGCCAGCAATGCTGGCTGTGGAATTCTGGGAGTTGAAGTCCACATGACTTAAAATTGTCAAGGTTGAGAAACACTGCTCTATGGCGTCAATAATCAGTTCCCCTTTCGTTAACTACATCTAATTCATTGGAAGAATAAGCCCAGTGATCGATAGATAGATATATCTACTTGATGCAGAATATATATATCTACTTGATGCAGAATATATATATATCCCTCTCCCTCTCCCTGGTGTGTGTGTGTGTGTATATATATATATCCCTCTCTCTCCCTCTCCCTCTCCCTCTCCCTGGCATCTTTGCCTGCCACGAAGGGACGGAGTGTGGAAGAGGGAAGAAATGGGCGCCCGTACGATACCGTGTCGGGGCTGTTGAGGAGCTGGCCGGCCAGAGGAGGTTTTGGCACTCCGCGGAGACTTCCCTCCCCCACTGAATATCCTAGGCATCACTACGAATAGGCAAAGCACCAGCACGACGGAGACGAACACCTGTTGCATCGAAAAAAGCGCCATGGCGTCACGCAGGGACAAAACTGCGAGAAAGGGCTGTCGACTTTACTATCGGCCACCTACAGTCACTCAAATAAACCAATACTAGCTGGAAGGAAGCTGGAAAAGGGGAGCGGAAGAAAAACAAACCATGGATTTGCGAAGAAGGACCTTCATCTTCGATTTATTTTGTGTACCGCCCCCTAATGGGCTCCAGGCGCTGTTGGCGTGGCGATAAGTGGAAGGAAGGGGAGTGAATTCAATGGAAGCTAGGCACTTCTAGCATAAAATCTCACTTTTGTTCACAAAAGAGCGAAAACCATTGCTTACAATTGTGAAAGGATATTATAAATATGTAGTTCTACAACAAAGCTGAGGAGAAAAAGGTAAACAGTGTTTTGGAATCAGAATTCAATTTCAGCTCATCAGTGTTGTAAATGCAGAAGAAAGCTAGAGCCTATTAATAGTGGGGCACATAAATTCTGTCATTCATAGAGCATATATATGGATACTGAAAAATGCGGCTGATATCAGAAAAAAATTAAGGAGTGTATGTCGATATTTAAAATATAATTTTGGCCACATGTTGCTTTCATAGGATCTAAAAACACTTGATCTAAAATGAGACACACATCTATGGAATAATACTGCATACTGTGCAGACTTTGGGCAAATTTACATAGCCTTCACCCTGTGGGCTGTAAAGTAATAAGAAAATACCCTTGTTCCTGGAGAGTATGTCCATGTGCCAGTGCACCTACAACTATCTTGCTTACCACCAGTGGTGGGATTCAAATAATTTAACAACCAGTTCTCTGCAGAGGAGGAGGCGGGGTGGGCACTGCTACGAGGCAGGGAGGGGGGAGCTGCCCCATGCACCCCGCAACCAATTACCATGCCAAAGGGCCTCCGCAGCCTACCACGCCCCAACACCTGTTGCACCTTGCCTGTTCAGTAGTGACTTTTCCCACTTTTTCCTCCTTCTTCTTTTGAACAGCCCTTCACTCCCATTGCTGCTTTTTCAGTCGCAGAGTTTTGTCCGGAGCCTGTGCAGAAGGTCTTTGGAAACGAAGCCCCGCAGAGATCGGGTGGGGTGGGAGCCATTCCCTTTGTTTTTGGACTGGCTCCCAAATGGGTTGGAAGGAGCGGCCCGAGGACTCCAATCTGGCTTTGCAGCAAGCAAGGGGATTGGAGGCATGTGAATGCACGCTAGTCTGGCGTCTCAAAAAAATGTCCCCCCTCCCTTTGCTGGATTTTCGCTTCCATACTGTATTAACTTTCTTTAACGTTTACTTGATGCAGAATGGGAAGAAAAGAAAGTTAAACAGTATGGCAGCGAAAATCCAGCATGTTATATCTTCAGTTCTTTAGGCATTGAACGAGGCAGAGTGTTGAAACAGCAAACAAGTTTATTAACTCAGAACAGAAGCAGCCCTAAAGGCTGCTGCACAGCTATTTATACAGTTAGCCTCTAGGTGGCAACCAATAGGTTTAAAGTAACAGTTTCCTGCCCCAAACCTATTATCAGCTTGTAGACAGCCAGTCTGGCTTTCAGTAACAGCAACTGTTAAACAATACAGCAATGTAGGTGGGACATTAAGCAAGTGATTTAAAACAGTTGTGGCCAATACATTACACAGCGGGGGGGAATCCATTTTTTTGAGGTGCCAGACTAGCGTGCATTCACGTGCCTCCATCCCCTTGCTTGCTGCAAAGCCAGATTGGAGTCCTCGGGCTGCCCCTTCCATTCCATTTCGGAGCCGGTCCAAAAGCGAAGGGAATGGTTCCCACCCCACCCAATCGCTGCAGGGCTTCGTTTCCAAAGACCCTATGCACAGGCTCCGGACAAACTGAGATCCGGGACTGAAAATGCAGCAATGGGAGCGAATGGCTGTTCAAAGGAGGAAGAAAAAGGACAAAGTGGGAGAAGCCCAAGGGAGATTTCCTCCGTCACCCTGCAAGCGGAGGCGGGGAGGGGGAAGGCAGGCGATCTGGACGTGCTGCATGGCAGCAGCAAGCAGAGATGGGGGGGAAGCCTTGCCCTGCCTGCTTCTGCTTGCTGCCACCCTGCAGCATGTCTGGATCACCTGCCCTTCCCCCCGCCTCTGCTTGCAGGGTGGCAGAGGTGGTCTCCCTTGGGCATGAAACATGCTTTGGAGACCCTCCTCCATCACCCTGAGGAGCATGAGAGTGGTAAGACCCGAAAGGCTGAAGGGAGGACCCGAGAGAAAACCTCAGCATTGGATTGAAAAAAACTTGGAAAAACCGGAGACGAGAAGGCCAAGAGTGGACACTCAGATTTATCATAACCGGTTAGCTGAACTGAACAAGAAATTAGGTATCGGTTCGGTTGAACCGGTGCAAACCAGCTAAATCCCACCACTGCTTATCACCTGCAGCCATGTCACTTGAAGAGTTACCCCTCTGCTCCTTTTTTTTTTTATCAAACTCTACTTTTAAAAATATCTCTCTCTCTCTCTCTCTCTCTCTCTCTCTCACACACACACACACACACACACACACACACATTTCCCCTGTCCTGAGTCAATGCACAGCCTCTGAAAATTGGGGGAAAGTAAGCATGCATATTAATAGGGTTAGTGGACCATCAGTCTATGAAACAAATTGGTATTTTGTATTGCATCCCCACTAGAACCAGTTTAATTTCTGTGTTGCCCTATCTAATGGGCTTACCAGTCTTCATCTATCTCTATTGTCAGCCCTTCAAGGTAAACCAGATCAGGAAACAGACCAGAAGAAATACTAAAACATGTATTTTTTTTTCTGCTAATGGATTGTGGCAGAAATGAACAGTTGACTAGGGTGGACTACAGCTTGGGACTTTTATCTTCAGAGCCTTTTATCTTCAGAGTGTGGTCAAAAAAGTCAAATTGATAGCCACAATGGTGTGATCAAAGCTCCAACTATTTTTTAAGTGTGTTTCATAAAAGAAATGGACAGATCATACCATCACAGCTGCCATCTTGATATTTTTTCCCAGGTTTTTTATTAATTTTCCAATATTACATTTACATATTTGAAAAGTAGCGTGGCAGTTGAGCACAGTAATTCCATTACATTTGAATATCATCAGTACAAATCTCAATGTATTCTTCTTCTTGTGCCATATCCGTTATCGGACGTTGGCGATCATGTTGGCGATCATGTTGGCGATCCTGTTTTTATCAGCAGCCGCACGAATAAGTGCTGCTGAGTTTTGTCCAAACCAATCCCTTAGATTTTGAAGCCACAATGTTCTTCTTCTGCCTGGACCTCGTTTGCCTTCAATCTTTCCCTGGAGGATTAAATGGAGTATGCCGTATTTTTCTGGGTGTCGCATCATATGTCTGAAATATTCTAATTTTCGCTTTTTAATTGTTTTGATGATTTCCCTTGGCTTTCCCAGGCAGCTTATTTCTGATCTTGTCAACCCAGCTTATACATAACAGCCGCCTGTAAATCCACATTTCAAATGTTTCTAGTCTCTTCAGGTGGCCTTCTGTCAGAGACCAACTCTCTACTCCATAGAGCAGGATAGAAAAAATATAGCATCTGACAAGCCTGATGTCATGTGTCTGACTAATGAAACACTTCAAAGAACTTTCAGGCATTTTTTTAACCTAAAAAGCCTTTATTAGTGTAAAGGAGTGTCAGCACAGCATGGAGAATGCCAAGATCTGAATTTCCCTTCCTTTGCACATAACATTCCAGGCATTTCCCCTCCCCTATTTTGGGGTCATGATTCACATCTTCCAATTAACCTGAAGGGCAAAGATTCACTTCCATTCCCTTCTGCGCACTTTTCTCTCCTCTCTCATTCTCATCTGAATTAACTCTAAAAGTACCAGACAGTTCTGCATATTTTGTCAAAGCAAGAATATTCAATATTAGCAGCGTTGACACCTGATTTTCAGTCTTAGGCTTATGTCGTGACTAGACCATTTTCATTTTGAAGAATGCTGTTCGGGCTTTTTCTATCCTTGTCTTTACTTCAATGGTCATGTCCCAGCTTTCATGTAAATTGGAACCGAGGTGTGTGATCCTTTCAACTTTTTCTAGTGGTATTCCTTCTGAATTTATTGGTGATAAATTAACGGATTGTTTGCTGACAACCATGATCTTGGTTTTTGAGGTGTTAAGCTTCAAGCCGTATTTTTCAGATATTTCTGTGACGAGGAGCTGAAGGTCTTCATGCTTACTGGCAAGCAGAACTGTATCGTCAGCATATCTTAAGTTGTTGATCCAAACACCATTTACTTTGATACCAGCATCAATGTTCTCCAGTGCCTCGTTGAAGATTGACTCAGAGTAGATATTGAACAACAGTGGAGACAGAATACATCCCTGTCTGACCCCTCTTCTTATTTCTGCATCAGCTGAGTATTTTTGGCCTAGTCTCACATTTGCTACCTGATGCCAATACAGATTCTTTATTATTTTGATGTCTTTGTCATCTAGTCCCCCTTGTTTCAGGATTTCTAATAATTTGCTGTGTCTTATTTTATCAAAAGCTTTTTCAAAATCAATTAAGCACATGTAAACGCTGCGATTGACATCTCTACAACGCTGTACAAGAACCTGAATGCTGAACAGCACATCTCGTGTACCAAGATTGTTTCTGAAACCAAATTGTGTGTTACCTAGATGCTCTTCAATTTTGTTGTATATTCTTGTGTGAATTATTCTCAGGAATATTTTCAGAGCATGACTCATTAAGCTTATTGTTCTGTATTCAGTACACTTCTTTGCATTTATTTTTGGGGGGGATTGTCACAAAGGTTGATTTTAGCCAATCATTTGGTATCTTTCCTGTTTCATATATCTGATTGAAGAGCTGCAGTAAAAAAATTCTTCCCATTATCTTCCAGCAATTTTAAAATTTCTACTGGGATATCATCAGGTCCTGTGGCTTTTCTTGTTTTTGCTATTTTTTATTGCATGTTCAACCTCTTCCATACTAATTCCCTCTCTTTCCCCCATAATATCTACTGTCTCATATTCGGATCAATACAGTTCTTATTTTATCAATCAAACAAAAAAATACCTTTCTAGTATTCATCAATAATCTTCAGTCTATACATATCTTAATTGATTTGACATTCCATCTTTTAGACAATAACCTAGT